TTGGAAAAAAAATCAAAACCAAACAGATTTCTAACAATAATTATTATCAGCCAGAGGGTCCTCTATTTTTTATTTTTACTAATTTATACCATTTGGATTTTCTAAACATAAACATGATTACCTTTATTTTAAAAATACACACAATAGCTATATGTATAGTAAGATTATGGGTCATTTTGGGTTTTCTTCTTTGTACTTCTCTGAATTAAAAAAAAAAAACCTAAAAATATTATTTTTAAAAAATCCTTTGCTTTTGATTAATAATCACTGATCTAATACCTTTCTCTTAGAGATTAAAAAAAAGAGACTTAGAAAAGCAACGTTTACTTAGCTCAAGATCACACAGCTAGATAAAAGTACAGAAAATAAACATAAAATATGATGCACATTTAAACTGTCTATACTAAATAGGTTTTGGGGTAATTGTCCAACTCAGATTCTAGAAGATTCAGCCATCCTATTCATAGACCCTGATGACCATGAAAAAAGGCCTGGTATTCATTCTAATTTAATATGTAAAGAAAGCATCAACGATGATTAATATCTATATGATGCTTACAAATTTACAAATTATATTCTCATGTATGATCTAAAATATTAATCAAATGAAAATCTTATTTGGTCTTCATAACCTCATGAGATGGGTAAGGCAAAGATTATTATTTTCATTTAACAGAGAAGAAATCTCACATCTACAGAAGTTAAGTAACTTACCTAAAGTTACATAGCTACTATACAGTAAACAGTAGAAACTCAACTGAGATCCTTTGGTTATAAATGACATACTATTTCAATACCATGTTAAGTGGTATACCATGAAAGCAACGACAATAGTCATGGTCTCCCCAAACACACACCGCCCATCATCTTTACAGTGCTTAACGGAACACATGGGTATTCTTAAGAGATTATTTTAGAACAGGGTTTTCAAATTCAGCACTATTGACATTTTCAGCAGGATAACTCTTTGTTGTGGGAAGCTGTCCTATGCCTTGTGGGACATATTACCCACTAGATGCAAGTAGTACTACCCCAGTTGTGACAACCAAAATCGTCTCCAGACGTTGTCAAATGTCCTGGGGCAAAATTGCCTCCACATGAGAACCACTGCTTTTGATACTCTAGGACTTTCTTCTCATGTGAAATTTGGTTTCACGTCAGAGATCAGCTCAGTGGCACAACTAGCATGTTTACGTTACAGATGAAAGAAAAAGCTCTAAACTATAAATATCACAATGAAATAAATCTAGAGCTCTGAAAAGACTGTTTACAAAAAATCTATTCCATTAGCTACCAACCTCCTTATTTTAGAGTTCAGCCAGACACAGACACTTACAAGTTCATAAGTAACTACTACCAGAAGTAGAAGGAGCATCAAGAGACAAGCCCACTATGCTTATTTGCTATGATCCTTTCAGGATATTCTGGCTTTTTAATACCGTGTACTCAGCCCTCAAACTCAAATATGGTACTCAATTCTTTTAGAAAGGTGGATTTATGAAGTTCTGGCCCAGCATTAATGGAGAGAGATATAATGAGTCACAAATACAAGCCATACATGAAACTTAAAATTTTCTAGTAGCCACATTGAAAAAGTAAAAAGAAACAGGTAAAATTAATTTTAGCATTACTTTATTTAACCCAGTATGTCCAAAATATTATCATTTCAACATGTAACCAATGTAAGAAATTATTGATGAGATATTTTACATTCTTTTTTTCATACTAAGTCTTCAAAATCCACTTACAGCACATCTCAATTCGGACAGCCACATTTCAAGTGCTCAATAGCCACATGTGGCTAGTGGCTACCGTATTGGACAGCGCAGGCAGATCTAGTCTGTAAGGAAAAGGTACAAAGGGCAAGGGAGAAAAAGCTACAGTCAAAAAAAAAAAAAAAAAAAAAGAATCCTATTCAACTGTCTTCTAATTCTTTCACTATTGTTACCAATACCAGATGGTTATATGTCTGCAAATAAAGAGTAATGAGGCTTTTTATGATTTTGCTTCAGCAGTTCCAAATTCCTAGTTATGTTTCTGGGTTCAGAAATTAATGACTGAGGGTCCGGCCCGGTGGCGCACTGGATAGTGCGCCGCTTGGGAAGCGCGACGGAGCTCCAGCCCGAGGGTTCGGATCCCACATACGGACCGGTTCCCGCTCACTGGCTGAGCGAGGCGCGGGAGCAACGCCGAGGGGTCCCAGCCCCCGTCGGACACCGAAAAAACCCAAAAAAAAAAAAAAAAAAAAAATTAATGATTGTTGTTAAAAGGTTTTTTTTTTTTTTTTTTTTTTTTTTTTTTTT